GATCGAGAAACCCAAGCTGCCACAAAGCATGGCACCCCGGGTGAGCGATGGCGATTTCCCGATCCTCTGGGGGACTTTGCTACCAGGCTGGCCAGGGATTGGTCGAAACGGATTAAAGGCTCATAACCTATAGCAAGATAGCTCGTAAGTTGAGAACAGATAATGGGTGATTAAGTTGCCCTGCTCCCTGACTAGCCAATCAGGTAGATAAAGTTGCATATAGAATTCCGTTACTTAGTTAGTTAGCTGGCTAGCTAGCTAGCTAGTTAGTTCCCGACTTCCTTAGTCCGTTAGTTCGTCAGCTAGCTCGTTAGTTAGTTAGTCGGTTCGTTATATTCAGTGCATCAGTGTCCCGAAGAGCCAACCGTCAGAGGATGGCGGCAAGTGAGGTAGCACAGGCCTCACAAAGCGACTGCGGCTTGAGCTCGAAAGAGAGTCAAGACATGTCAAGAAATTCTTGAAACATTTGGTAGCAAAACAGCCGCCAGCAAGGGGCGGCTCATCCATCATATTCTACATTGTAATGGAACTGTCCTTATTATAAGGAATAGTGGGATCCTTGTTGCAAGAAGGAACACGATCCTTATTCTAAGGACCTCGAAAGGGGGCCCCGGGTTCGAGATTTCGGGTTTGGACGCAGGGCAGTCTTTTGCAGACCAATGCCTTTGACTCCTTCGATCAGAGGATACACCCAGAGCCCTTGAGCCCAAAACCACAAGCCACGGGGCCTCGATGTATGGGATCGGAATAGCTGGTACTACTATGCCTTAGAGCCCCTTATGATAGTTGAAGTATAGTATACCCCAAAACCCCATTCTAAGGCCCTGACATTGCAATGAAAGCCCAAGACTGCTTCATAATGCTCAACGAATAGCTCAACGCAGAGTGCGAGACCAAAAGCATGACAAACTCTTCGAAAGGTCTTCCTCTTGACCCCAAATCCCGGACCCTAACAGCCAAAAATGCTCAACCCGGAAGAACAAATATCGGAGGTCTTCTACAGACCATGACAGCCCGAGATATTTTGCCGATTTAGCCCGCAACTTAGTAACGCATGGCCTTACTTGCCAAGTCCCGGTTCCTTCAACCAAAGTAACTCGCATCCTTAGAGAATCCTTCTGCAACCCTTGTGAAACCCCTCGAAGCGAACCCTGAGAGTTAGAACCCTTGCAGAACTCTATGAAAACCCATAAACACCTGTCAAGCTGCATATGAAGCTCACCCTTAAAGGAGCCCTAAAGCCGCTAAAGGAACCCTAACAAGCCCTTGGGGAACCCCTTAAAGGAGCCCCAAAAGCCTGTAGAGGAACCCCTCTGAAGATATGTAGGTGGTTGTCAAAATTATGGCCCTTTCTGGATCCCTATTACAATACGGCACCTATGATTTAGGGTACCCGAAAAGGGACCCTAATTTTGACAACCACCCATATGAAAGAAACTCTTCGGGAGGTCTTTTGGACATTCCTTCCCTGGGGCGGCTCTGGCCAGTCTCCTCGGAGTTGGCGAAGCACGGGCAGAGCCAGGCGGGAATTCATGGGCTGGAGTGGAAGGAAACCATGCAAAGGCGATGCATGTACGTGTGTGTGTGTGTGTGTGCGTGTGTATATATATACACAAAATTCAAAATACATAGAAGTATACATATGTAAACATATATATATATATATGTATACATATAGATATATGCAGACAGAGACATAGCTATGGATTCGCAATTCATATGACCCTGTATCTACTTCGCTATGAGTCTCTTGTCGACTACACCACAAGGAGCAGATGAAAAATAGACGAATACACCGGTGCAGGGATTTCGTCAGGGAGCAAAGCAAAGCCTCGGGCTTTAGAAACTCAGAGGGTTCGGGGTTCAGGAACGTCTTGGGGTCTAGTGGATTCAAACTGTTAGGGTTCACCCGTGGAGCTGCCTAGCTTCAGAATGCGTTGGGATTTCGGATGAAGGGTTTGTGTGCAGGGCTTGCGGCCTTTTTCAAGCGCTCAACATGTTGCTACCCTCTGTTCGCGCGCAACATGTCAATTTCTTAGTAGGTCTATTGGCGCTTTGTGGCTTCGGGGTCTCTGTACGGTCACGGCATGGGACTTTGATTCATGGGTGATCTGCTTCCGAGTTTGAGGCCTCTTTCTGAGTATCGCAAGGCTAACACAGAGGTGTTAGGATCTTGGAGCTCGCAAGGTTTGGGATTCGGATTCTATTGGGTTTTTTGGGCTTCTAGACAAAAGGGGCTCCCTTAGCCTGAATTTACTTGGTTTCTGAGCAGTACCTTTTCGCCCTTTGATTTTTAGGGTCGTTACTCAAGCCGAATAGTAGGAAAAAGGAATCCCTTATTAAAACAGGGCACCGAGTTAAAGGCCCCTGATAATTTCAGGTGAAGGTCATTGGGCTGTCTGGGAAAGTAGAACTCTCAGATGATTCGGAGTGTGGCCAGGAGGTCAGCGACTCCCTACGCGAGCCCTGTCTAGTTATAGTCGGGATGAATGTGTTTTTGAGGGTTTAGTGCTTAAAGTGGCACGGGAGGGCTCGAGAAGCTGTGATCCGGTCATTTAATCATTCTCGCTATTGCTCTGGACACCATCAGGCGAACAGTACTATTCACCTGGGTGCTACGTTGGAATACTTTTGGTTTCCCTGCGGTCTGATGGAGGGGCACCGATTCAAGACTATTTCGGGATGGCCTTCAACCACAAGCTCGTTCGTTTTGTTGAACATCTGACCTCGTCTCCTAAACCTGAGTTCTTTGACGAAGCCGGTGGATTTGGGGTTTGGGTTTACAGGCCCTGATCCTTCTCACCGACATCACCATGAGCAGGGCATTATGATCGTCATCGTCCTTATCTCCATCATGGTCATGGCGATGGCCATCTCTGCCTTGGCAATCGCCATTGACACTTATTGCTTCTGTTGTTGCTGTGACTACTGACCTGGTCGTCGTGAGTGTTGTCGTCATCATCATTTTCGTCACCCACACGCCTACGATGATGATAGTGATGATGATGGTGATGGTGGTGCTTGTGTTGCAGATGTTGCGGATGTGGCGATTGTGCTTTGTGGTTGCGGATACCATGAGGAGGTCTTGTAAACTGCCCGGAAACGCTTCTCAGACTGAAGATGGTGGACACCAAACAAGGCTCCCTCCCACCGCACATCCTTAGCACTCATGTCTTGCACAGTCCTTCAAGCGCTTAGGATGTGGGCTTTGGCTTAGAACCCTACTTAGCCATGAACCTCCAAGTGGGTGTTGTAAGGAGCGTGAACCCCCCTAAACCCTTAAACACTAACCATTAAACCCCTATACCCTAAACCCCGAAACCCCTAGACCCTAAACCCCGAAACCCCTAGACCCTAAACCCCGAAACCCCTAGACCCTAAACCCCGAAACCCCTAGACCCTAAACCCTTAAACCCTAAACCCTCTTGTAAGGAGCGCCTCCGAGCTCCGCTCTGTGGATCTGGCACGCAGCTGCAGGTGCTGGCGCGGACGCTGGAGCACCCCGGGCTTGGAGCTTCCATAAGGTTAGGTTTAGGGTTTAGGGTTTCAAGAAGGTGAGGTTTGAGGGTTTAGGGTTTAGGGGGTTTAGGTTTGGAGTTTCCATTCTAGGGGTCTTGGGAGTTCAGGGTTTAAGGTGGAAGGTTTAGGGTTCAGGGCTTGGAGTTTCAAGAAGACGACTCATTCATCATATCCGCTGAATGTCCTTAATCACTCATACGAAGACGTACCCAAAGTTCTGTTCCAAGTCTTAAGGCCTCTAGGCCTATGTTTCAGACTTTGGGGTGTGGAAACGTTATGCGTTTAGTTTTGACCCCTGATTAAGAAGCCCCCTTTTCTGTCAAGGCACTAAACCTTATAGCTTTTTTCTCGAAACATTTCAGGGTCTGACACCTCACTGAAACATGGAGCCCAGCCGGTCTTAATCAAGACAGACATAGCCCCCAAGTCTTAGTAAGCACGACTTTGCGGTTCGAGCCATCTGAATTAAGGGAAAAATCGTGTTTCCTAGCTCGGAAGAGGAGCTCCCGAGAGTTATAGATCCGCAATTCAGGGGTTAGTTTGCCATACGCTGCCCTACGTACACCCTAAACCCTACCTAAAACCTAAACTCCTAAACCCTCAAGCTCGTAAAACCCAAACCCTAAAGCCTACGCGAACTCTAGACCTTGGCCTTTTTGAACAACCTTCATTTTCTCTGAGGGCGCTGTGCTGCAGATTCCTCCCTGCGGATGCTGCCCAGGATCCCTCCGAGTTCCGCTTTTTCTCAACAGTCGCAGGGTACATTACTAACCTAGGGGCCTAAATAATTACCAATACTATTTTGGGGCTCCTTTTCATACTTATAGTATAAATATATTGAGCCCCAAAACCCTGTTCTAATTATGAAGGCCCCCATACTACATCGGTGTCCTTGACTTTGAGGATCCGGCTACCAAGGGTCCGTATACTTGGACGCTGTATTTCCAGAACTCCCACCTCATACGAGGAACGAGCTAGCTGAAAACTTTTTGGCAGGACCACAACATAACAACAAAGCAACACCAGGAGACGACGGATCCTCATGCAAAAGCTACATTCCGAAAACAATTAAGAAGCAATCAATAAACCTTCAAACCCGCCTAAGCTCTACACCCTTGCATCTAAAACCCAAGGGCCTCAAGACAAAATCGGTCTGTTGCGGGTCGGGATACTGAAGTTCAGCTCTGCGTCTCGAGGTTTTGGTGCTCGGTTTTGCGGTTCAGGGTTTAGGGTTGAAAGGGGTTGGGGGCTTAGGGTTTAACGACAATGGGGCTCCTAGAATAGGATTCCACATGAGTTTCCGGGTTTACGCTGTAGAGCAAGCCTGTTATGAAGGCCATGATAATCAGAATAGGGTTTGGGCTCTTCTAGTAGAACTGGAATAAGAACCATAAGGAATAATGTCGGTACATTTCTTCGGCTCCTGGATAGGCCTTAGCGTCCTTGATGTTGACCGTTGCGAAGCCATCGTGCTCCAAGAAATGGCAGCCCCGGCCCCTTTGACCGATGATGTCCAATGGCCCGATCTGGAATGTCTTCGAAGCGAAATTCAGCAGAAGGAGAGCGAGCTCCTTGCTCTGAAACGCCGCTTGCAGGCGATATCCCAGCCAAGCACTCCCCAGCAGGAGCCTTGGGGGGGCACGTAGACATAATTTTCAATTTTACGGTTCCTAACTCCAGAAGAAACAGCTAAACTTACGGTTTTAAGAAACAGCTAAACTCACAGTTTTAAGAACCTGCTAAACTTGCAGTTTTTGCTAGGGGTCTAAATTCAGTATAGGAGCGAAGACCTTCGCAATCCGATGAGTTCGAGAAGCCTCTCTCGGTAGTTACTGGGTTCTTGTTGAGGACTTTAGTTTAAGTTACCATTATGCGGATCTACAGTGAATAGTAGGGATTCCTTATTATGGTAGCTTAGGTTAAACTCCTTAACAAGAACCCAGGTTATCCCGATGGGAGGTCTGGGTACTGAGTTTGCCGAAGCGGGCTTTCGAATGCCCAAGCCATTGGTCAACATTGTAGGACGGCCGGTGTCTAGGCTGTTCAGTGGTATTCGTGTTGTTGTGTGTTTACAGGTTCCTATCATAATATGTCTGCCCCTCCAAAAAATATTAACCTTTCTCCCAGTGCGTTACAACAGTCTAGATAGTACACGAAACCCCGTTCTGGTCCTGAAGACCCCTGCAGAAGTTTAGTTTGTTGTTTCCGCGCTCCTGTTACAACAGACCTGCGTGGAAAACAATATATACAGCCCAGGTCTTGTTATGGGTATTGGATCATCTGAGCCTTCGCCCAACTGATTCCGTCTTTTTGGCCGTTCCCGTGGCGATCATGCGGCAGTTCGACCTTGAAAGAATCGTGCGACGCCTGCTTCCTCACGTTGACTTCAAGATTCTACTTGGCACTCTGGGACACGGTTTGATTTAGGGTTTAGGGTTTAGGGTCTAAGCCTTAAACTCCAAGCAAACCCCTCATGGATTGATTTGGGTGCCTGCGCAGAAACAGTTCTGGGGACCCTGAAACTGCAACCCAGGATTGTGGTCTTGCCTTTTGAAACCCGCGGATGGCTAGAAACCGTCTTGTCCGTCACCAGGCAGATGTCTGCCAAAGAGAGCAGGAACTGCCTTGTTACCTTAGATTGCTCCTTAGTTTGTGAGAGTATTTGTTCATTTTTCTCCTGGCATTTGGGTTTAGGGTCTTTGCTTTCGACCACCCAACCCCCCGACTGTTTACCGATCTGGCCCCGATCCACCACAACTTGTACAAACTTCATAAGAAGATAAAGCTGTTGTGCAACCGTTCTAAACCTTTCAAAGCCACCCTTACAAGAGTCATCGGTGAAGCACTTGTAGGATCATAGGAATCATAACTTACATTGCTTGTAACCCTACTTGCTAAGTCACCCAATTCATTAAGTAAAGTGAACCCCGAAAGTTGGAACATGGTTTTGGGCTGATAAGTGCTACATGCCTTATACTGTACCCTAAACGTATGAAGATAATGATGCTCCAACTCCATGCCGTCTACTGTAAGGCTCCACAATCTATCACGGCGTGGACGTCTTGCACTTATGCCGAGTTTCGGAAGGACATGCTTCAGTGCATCTAGGCTCTTCAGCAGCTGTTTGCCTGTTCTTGGTTTCGGGTTTGTTAAAAGTTTCGTGCGCATTCGGGAACGAAAGAGAGTTTCAGGGTTTGGGTTCTTGTGGCGGGGCTCAGTGTTCGGGTTAGTTTAGTGTGACGGCTCCTTTCCATGGCGATTCAGTTTTGAGAAATGTCAGGGATCGGCACGTGTGAGATTCGCATGTTTGTGTGCCGGCTGAATGTGAGAGGACAGTGTGCCCTGGAGGATTGGTTTTTGCAGACGTATTAGGGCTATGTCGACAGGCCAATCACAGGAGACCAAGTGCAAAGAAGCCCGGCACAGGTTCGCGCAGTGGCACGAATCCAAGGTTCTGGGAAGGTGTAGGTATGGAGAAGGGTGGGAACACCACCGGAAGGGCTTCTGAAAGCAGTCTTTTGGAGAGGGCTTCCAAGAGGAAACATTCGGTTTCGGTCGGAAGGCTTTTCGAAACTCTGCCCCCAGGCCTCTGTATGTTGGAAACCAGAATATGTTGCTTTATAGGTGTGCTCGGGAACCAAGGTATATTGATTTGGACAAGGCCCCGGTGTCTGGGACGTCCGCGCAGCGTGCGACGTTTTCATTCATCAAGCTCAACGAAGATGGAAAGATCTCAGAGGTGAAGGAGAAGTCTGTGACTCTTAGCTGGCTCCTCTTACCGTTTCTGTGTGGTACAAGGATCGTTTACAGGTTGATTTCAGGTGTTTGGGTTTGCTCGTTTCCGTTTGTACAGCTCTTGGAAGAAACTGGACCTAAGGATTTCCTCACAGGCGAATTGCGGCACGCGCCTGGGTTCTTGTTCAGTACCAGAAGTGGAGCGTATAGTTAAGCCGTGCAATAACCTTAAGCCCCCTTAGTTTCCTTAACAAGAAACGCATAAGCTTCTTGTTAAAACTTCAACTTGGGCCCTTAAAGCAAGAACCCCCATACACCCCTGTACGTCCTGTTTGACCGAAGTTGGGTGTGTTAATGCCAGAAACCCTTGTAAGATCCCCATCAATCTATGATGGTACCCAAAAATCTTGTGCATTCCCCTACTTTCCTATGAGTTCAAAGCCCTACGTTTCTGAAAACAAGACTCGATAAATCTCCAAACTCCACAAATAGCCTACAAAGGTTTGCGTCCTTCAAAACAAGAGCAGTACACCTCAAGCCTAAAGCGACCAGAAAGTCTGATCAACCGCCGAAAAGTTGCTATCATACGAAACCATAAACCGTAAACCCCAAGACACCGCTAAAGCCTAACCCATGAACCTAAATCCCTTTACCCTAAACCCTAGGTTCCTTGAGGGAAGAGCCCAGCTACACCCTAAGCAATAAACCTAAAGAGACCCTAAGCTTAAGTTCCTTAAGGGGAGCTTAGGTACATCTTTGTCAGCGCGGCGGAGTTTCGTTCGCAGGCTGAGGCCTTGCTCGAGCATCCCGAGGAGGCGGCAAAAGGTGGGGGGTTCTTCAAACTTGGGCTTAAGGGTTTAAGGCTTAAGGGTTTAGGGCTAAAGGGTTCAGGGCTTACGGGTTTAATTGGGGTTTAAAGGCTTAGGGTATAGGGTGTAATGGTTTAGGAGGGTTTAGGGTATAGGGGTTTAGGGCTTAGGGTTTAGGGTTTGTAGGGCGTAGGGTTTTTCTATTAGAATAAGGGTGTCATGAGAGCTTTATTAGGGCGAAAGGGCAATTCTAGGGCAGAGGGCTTATCAATATACAATGAGAATATCCGCCTATAGTCCCTTCTAAAAGATGCTACCATCGCCTTCTTAAGACTTCGGATTTATACGGGCCTGTAGGAGCTTTCTAACAGCAAGTGTAAGTATCCAACAGCTCGGGATGCGCTATCTAGCGGGGTTTATAAACGGATCCTGTTGCATGGACACTACGTCCCTGATGTTCTGAACCTGTCAGGTGGTCTCTATGCCTCAAGCCTTATGACATGGATGATCGGGCATGGTGCAGAATTCCGGGGCATCCCAATTCTTTACAATGATGTGGCAATGGTGTCAACTCTTGCACAACTACAAGCCTTCATTCGGAAGGTTTCCTGCGGCCAGGTGCCGATGGCCCGGAAGATGCGCTTCTGCTTCGACCTGGATGGGACATTGGTGTCTCATCCCCCGGACAAGACCACACGATGCCAGCTGTTGGTGTCAGCTGTAGAATTGGTGCGCCAACTACATTCGGCAGGCCATACCATCATCATCACCACATCCCGGGGAATGCCGCACGGTGGAGGTGTTGATCGAGCGGTTGCAGAGCAGGGCTTGGAAACCTTCAAGTTGTTGGAGGAGTTCGCAATACCATACGACGAGCTGCACTTTGGCAAGCCTCATGCCGACGTCTACGTCGACGCACATGCCATCAACTCACAAGGAGACCTCAATCGTGACCTTGGCTGGTATGTGGGCTCTGGAGAAAGTGGGCAAGGTGGGCTTGATGGTGCCATTGATGCACGCTCTTTCAACATGGTGCGTTCAGCCGGGCAGTCACATGTCATCAAGTCTTCAAAGGTGGATGTCCTGAAGGGCGAATGTCATTGGTACCGGTCTATTCCTTCAGGCCTTGCCCGCTACTTCCCGCAGCTGATAGAAATCGAAGAAGGCGATGCATCTAGCAGCGATGCTGTGTCAAGCATTACAATGGCCAGAGTTCTTGGGGTGACTTTCTCTCATCTGGTGACCGCTAGGTTGCTTCTACCAGAGGGGATCCGGCGATTGGTGCGAGCACTGCATGCCATCCACACAGAGAAGCCCGAAGAGGGCTCCCAGTTATCCAAAGAGCGGAAAGCCGGAAATGCCGATCTTTGTGCCAACTACGGCTCCAAGGTGAAGAAGAGAGCCATGGAACACCTCAGCTTATATGATTCTCTGGCAGAGGAGCTGGGCATAAACGTCCGGAGGATGGCGGACGTTTTGGTCGGTTTTCTTGAGGACTTCGAGGCGTCACACAAAGCCCAGCATGCATTTTACATCCATGGCGACCCGGTCTTCTCCAACATACTGAGGACCAACGACGCTACTAGGCCTTTCTTGAAGATGTGAGTGTTGGTATTATTGCTATTCGTAGCATTAAAGCGATCATTGTATTACTTCCCTATTTTTGCTAGTATTCTTGTTTTTAGTGGTTTAATAAAGTCTTGTACGGTCGGTACATGGAACAAGAAGTGCTTTCTTCACGATGCCTCGGAGAAGAGCCCAGGATAGGATCCTTATGATTGACATGCGTGGACAACTGGGAAAGTGGATAACTACACAAGGGGATGTCCATTATGACCTGAGCAAGGTTTTCCAGAGCCTGTGTGGCTACGACTTCATGCTACTAGACCAAGTTCTGGATGAGTCTGCTTCTGAGACTTTCGATGCCTTGAGGGCTGCATATTGGGAAGAGGTCAGGCAAAGATACCCTGACGTTTCACATAGACAAGTTCGGCTTCTGACAGCGGCGCACTTCTTTACGATTGTGCCACTGCACGAGGTACGGTCCAGGATGGCCCGATATTTGCGAACCGCTCATTCAATGCTGCACGTGGAGGGCTTGCTGTAGAAGTGCGTGTGCGAATGTCGGGGCAGGCCCAGGACGAGTCATTGCAAGGACGGAAGAAAAAGTCTGCGTTTTCGGGCAAGGTGGGAAGAGAGGGGAGGCGTTGCAAGTCAGCAGTAAAGTATGCATAATCGTTGCTGCCAGATTTTCCGATCGGAACATAGAACAGACGAAAGGTGTGGAGACGAGTGATCAAGCCTGGGCTCAACTCTTTCCACAGTCAGTCTGGGATTAATACGGAGGCCTCATGCCTGAGCCGCTCAGAAAGCCCCTGCTTTCCTTGAGCCCTAAACCCTAAACCACCTAAACCCTAAACCCCCTAGCCACCTAAGTTATAACTACCATGAGCCTCCAAGTAAACCCGAAACCCTAAGCCCTTGAGCTCTTCACCCGCAGGCACCTAGCCTCTGGGATGGCAACGCAGCAGAGATCGATCGTGAGGCCGGGACTATAGTCTCCTCAAGAAATATTGTGCGTCTTTGTTCATATAAAAACCCAAAATAGTGTTCAAAATATTCTTTTCATTATGGTTCTAGGGGGTATAGGGGAGTAGTGTAAAGCTCGCAAGAAGAAGAATTCTCTATAACATCTTTGTAGATAATGAGACTCAAAAAGCCCTATACATACCTATCTATGTATATATACATGTAGATACCTATGTGTGTTTATGTTTATGTGAATACTTGCACGTGAATATTTGCACATACATACATGTACCCAAGACTCCGTGTTAAATGTTAAGGCGTCCATACATATTGGATCATCGCCTTCCCTTCACCTTCCATTCGCATGTCGGTCCTGTCACTTGAAAGCTTAGAGGACTTAGTAAGCAGGGTGATGAAAGGGTAACCTTAGGGTTTAGGGTTTATATGTGCTTACAGCGACGTCACGTCTAGTCTTACTGGCTTGGTCGACTCATCCTCGAAGTAGAGACCCGGAACTGAGGGGGTTGAAAGTTGTTTCGGGGTTTCTCGTGGATGGGCTTCAGGCTTAGTTTTCAAGACTTGGGGCTTGAGGCTTCAAGGTTCAGGGACGAAGGGCCACGAAGTGGCTGAGATTCCGGCCAGCGGCTTACGGACCTGTAAGGATTCAAACTTTACAAGGCTTGGAGAGTTTACCGGCCCTTCTGTGCAATCGGTAAGAAATCAGGCATGTACACACACACACATGCATCCATATGAATGCGTTTATGGTGTTATTCACATGCGTATGTTATTGCTTCTTTCTCTTATAGGCATATGTGGCATATTTACATACATACACAGGCAGGCGAGCAGGCAGACATACCGCCAGGCAGACATACAGCCAGGCAAACAGGCAGGTAGACAGACGTACATACCTACAGGCATACATAAAGATCTGCAGGTACATAAGAAGACGATCGTAGCCGCTCGTAGCCCCAATAGTACACTTATAGAGGCCCCGGCCAATCAAGGACCCCCGCATTAGCCCTTGTAGTACCCCTATAGCAACAGTGTTCTCTAAGCCCTAACCCCTATAAAAGGGGTGTTTCGGCATCGGGGTGCGTCCGTCAAAGTAGACGTTGCAGGCTCTTGGCAGATATCGCTTGCGCTTCCCGGAAGCGCCACCCGCCGGATTTCACTGGAAGAATGCAATGGAGACTCAGTAAGTTCGGTGTTCTCTCACTTCAAACGGTTTGACCAGCGTTTAAATGGCCAGGGACAAGGCAAGCTCGGCTTTTTTGGATTGTCTACGGAATCCTGGGCGTTTGAAGGATCAGCGGATTTATTTAATCCAGGTTTCGAAAGCTTCTTATGAACGAAGATCCAGTGGTCTTGCGACCTAGCAAGCAGGGTTACTCCTGTAATTCAGGGGTTTAGGGTTTATAGTCTAGGACTTTGAGTTTTCCTGAGGAGTTTCTCAGAAAGCTCAACACACCTTTGCATCCAGGGTTTTGTAGGGTGCTGAGGAAGTGTTCATCAGGACTTGATCGGTTTTCAGTTATGGTTTGGGAGCCCGATACCCCTTAACCCAAGAATAGATATCAGAGGAGCCTGAATAATAAGAACACTGCATTGAGGTCTACTATACAAGTATATAGGGACGAAGAGGGATCCTATTGCAAATCTTTTCCGAGCTTTACATCAACCTTGGAGTCCCGTCAAGCCAAACATACACTCAAATGGAAAGCGGACCCAGCTGGTGAAGTGGGAACTCGCCATAACTGAAAAAACGGCTGAACCGTCAGGGTAAGGGTACCGTCAGGGTTCATTGAAGGGATGGATGTACAGGGGTGCTGTAGCTGGTGGAAACGTGGGCAAAGCTCATGCATGGGTTATCATCTGCTCATCAAAGTCCTTGCTTGTACCGATACTGCAGAGGCCTGAATAACTCGTAGGAAAATCTCATGTTGGACTATACCGCCCAAGCCGAGTCTAGTCATTAAGGCCTCTATACTACTTAAGCCTTGCTGGAAGCTTGTTCTAGAGTTGTTACGGATCCTATAGGAGTCTGGATCGGAAAGCAGCCAAGGCTCCTCTTCCTCTGGCAGACCTCCTTTGCGCCAGATGCCTCTTGACTCCAGCAGTCGAAAGTAAGGTTTGAGGTGAAGGGGCTTGGGATGCGTTAGGATGGTTTAGGATTCAAAGGTTTTGAGGCTTTTGTCAGCCGAAGCCCAGGCTTTCAAAGCCCACAGCCAAGCGAGACCAGCGGTTGATGATATGTCCTGCATTACCCAGAATAAGGTGTTTAGGGATTAGGGTTTAGGCTATCCACAATAAGGAATACACCATAATTCCCATGGTTCAGGGTCATTAAGGTAGTGCAGGATTTATCTCATCAACCGCGCTTTGAGCCCGAAGCTTGCAACTCCGACACAGTTAAAAAGAAGAAGAACCCCAAAACCTAAGATCCAAACTCAAAGATTTCGTTTAACAAGAGAGGCTGAAGCCCCATAGTAGCTCCTTTTGGGGGGTTACCTTATAGGATTCTATATATGAACCCCCAAACAGGAACTACTATGGAGCCTCTGCTTTCTTTGGTTCAGGCCTTGTCACAACATAATAAGGATCCTACTGTTAGGGTACTGTATTGGGGTCTCCCTATTTCAGGAAACTCCCATATAATCCTGCATTACCCATAATAAAGGTTCAGGGATTAGGGTTTAGGGTATCTATAATCAGGAATATACCATAGTTCCCATAGTTCAGGTCTTGTCACAACTGAACAAACCTCTGAGCTGCGTGGAGTCGACACCTTCAGCTCGGCTCCGGTGCCTCGGATTACTTGAAGGTTCAGGGGTAGTTATAAGTAGGGGTCTATAGGGGTCCTTTAAAGCGATCCATAAGGGTTCAATAAGGGGGCATAGGGTCCAGGGTTCATGGGTCGTTATAAGTAGGGTTCTAAGTAGGAGAAGTATAGGTATAACCCATATTAGGGGACATATAACCCTGCTTACTAAGTCCCCTGATCCTTCAAGTAGATGAAGGGGCTTACTATAGGGCCCTAAATAATTCACTATACTACTTTGGAGGTTCCTTTAAAGGGGTCCTTTGTGGGTTACTCTAAGGGCTCTATACGGGTACTATGTTATAGGGGCCTATACAATCACCTATACTAGTTTGGGGGCGGTTCCTTACTATAAGTATAGTATAGTGGGCCCGAAAACCCTATTGTAATTGTTCAGGCCCCTATATTAGGCCTTGGAGGTTTGGTTTCCGGTTTAGGGTTTAGCGATTAGGGGGGATGTTTGCTGAAGCATCCCTTTTGGGGTTTAGTGTTTCATGGACTTCTGTAACGGTCTTAAGTGAGTTCTAGGGGCTTTAATGTCGACTCCGGAGTACCTAAAGCCCCGCCGCTTAGTGCCCTTGATGAACAATTACCAATACTATTCCTTACCATTCGGAAGTCAGCAGACTTTTGACGCAAGAAATGTCGTTGTTTCAAAGGAGTTATCCCAGAGTGGTTGGATTTTTCATTTTCAATGTGTAGCATGTCGAGATTTAGTTTTTCTCAGCTTCAGTATTTTTGGTTTAACTGGTGTTATTGTGGTTTGTGATATGTAGGCCTATAGGCTTCTGGGCTCCGAAATAGTGTTTAGGGTTAAAGCTGCGCATGTTTTCGGGGTTGCGATTACAGGCATTTCGTGTCCGGGCACTGGCTGGCGCCCTCCTTGAAACCAAGGGTTAAGCGTTGATTGCGGCAGAAGCCTGACAAGCCAGGGGTTGGATGATTCCAAGTCAAGGGTACCTGGATGCCGTTCCAAGTTTTGGAGGGAGGTTCAAGGTGCTTTTGGGGGTTTCGGGTTGAGAAGCTTTCCGATTGGAGTTCTGGACTTGCGACGTTGCAAGGAGGCTGTAATTCACCTTTGCGAGCAGTTCACTTGGGTTTTGCGCGCAGGGCATATGTAAACGCCCCTAACTGCACAGCGTGCTCGAAAGGAAGCCGCTTTGAAAATTTGCCGTCTAGATCCTCGGGCTCTAAGGGTTATGGTTCGTGTTGCAAATAAACGGCACACGGGTTGAGGTCCTACTTGGGGTTCATGGTTATAACTAGGGTCAGAAGCTGGATGACTATACTAGGGACTTATAACTCCACCTATAACTACCCATGAACCTCGACGTGGGGCTTAGAGTGGGTTATGCTTGAAAGCTGTGCTGCCGCTTCAGGATTGGGGCTGTGACGCTCACGGTTCGACTGAATCTGCTGGCAGTGTCCGTGCTTCGGCTGAAGATGATGATGGGTTCTGAAATCCCAGGGTGTGGGATGTTAATGTTTAGGGTTCCGAGATTCAAAGAGGATCTAGAAACTGGATCCCGTATGTGGTTCCATAAACAGTGCCGTTTGGCACCCATGCGGGTCTACTTGCCAGATCGTCCGGTGTCAGGGTTCAGGGTGAACCACTAGCAGAACCAAGATAATATCTTGAGCTCGGGTAGAGAGGCATTACGTGACATTACATGTTTCTACTAGTACTAGATTGTGTTGCACTAGATTTTACACCTTTGTAGCTTAACACAGGGGCCTTCATCATCAGAATAGGGTGTTGCTGCCCATTATAATAAAACTATAATAAGGAAGCCCCCAAAATAGTTTCTAGCCGGCTTGGAAGTCGTACTTGGAGGTTCATGGGTGGTTATAAGTAGGGTTCTTAGGGGTTTAGGGTTCCTGGTAAGGGTTTCTTGAAGGGTTCTATAGGGTTTAGGGAGTAGGGTGGTTATAAGTGGGGTTATAAGTCCCCTAATATGGCTTATAACTATAGTTCTCCTACTTAGAACCCTACTGATAGTTACCCATAAACCCCATATCCTATACCCCCTTATCGAATCCCCATAGATCCCTTTAAAGGACCCTTATAAACCCTACTTATAGCGACCCATGAACCTCCAAGTCGACCCTAAACCCTTATAGATTCTGTATCGATCCCTTTAAAGGGACCCTTACAACTACCCCTGAACCTCCAAGCAAGGCTCCAGGCTGCAGGTTCCAAGTTCTCGGGGATCGGGATCGGCAGCTGGTGGTTTTTGGGTTTCAGGTTCATATTTTTGGGGTAGTTTGGGGTTTAGGGTTTAGGGTTCTGTAGGGGTTTAGGGGTTTTAATGTGGGCCTGGCCAGCCTCAGGTTCAGGTAGGCGCCGGAAAAGTTACCAACACGATTTGTGAGGGCTCCTGAATACAACTATACTATAAGGTACCCTAGAACCCTAAGCTAACTACTAAGGCCCCTATTGGGCCCGATAGTAGTCTTTCGAGCTTACAGTCTTTTTCTTGTGCTGGAGGATTGAGGCAAGCTGCTGCTGTGTGCTTACGTAGCTTTAACGCTGTGAGTAGCTTGCGTCGAGGCCCATAGAGGTATGTAAGCATAAGGATGCCATATTGAGGGATAGTACGACCCACATACCGGGGATGTTAGAAAACTTAAGCTGCGAGCTCCTTATGCGTGAGCTCCTCATGTGTATGGTCTGCTGGATCCTTACTATTTCCGCGTTTTATCGAGCTTGTGGTTCACACTGTGGGATTCGGGGTATGAAGAGGGGCCATACACAGATTCTGGACCTTAGACCCTTCTAACAACAGCCTGGCATATAGGCGCATGATTGCTTGGAACATAGAGGTTATCCACGAGCAGACTATCGGTATCAAGAGGCATTGAAGAAAACGGACGCAGGACTCCCGAAGGAGAAACAGCTTGATTATTCCATCGCTGTCTGCTGGGAGGAGAGCTTTTTTGATGCGGCGCATCCTCACAAACGATTGCTGCCACGGCCCGAGAACTCGAGTGCTAGGTGCAGAAGAACCTTCCTAGGTGTGCAAGAAAGTCGGCTTTGCCCTTCTTGGGCTGGGTCAGCCTTAGAATCTGATCCCGTTCCCAAACCCGAGAACCTGACGTGTAATCCCGCTCCTGTCAAACTAAGCGCATAGGCACCGCCTTGATACCTTTTCATTGTTTTCCGGTCAAGGTTGGGCATGAAGACTGCACATACGGAAGATGGTACCCGAACACTCGCGAGAACCCTCTACGAAGACTCCCGAAAACTCAACACGCTTCCTGTTGATCCTTATACATCTCCAAAGCACCTTTTCTAAAAGCCTGTTAAACCATCAAATGGAGAAATAGAGCCCTGTCAGCGCAAAGACTTGAAAGAATGTGCAAGAAACTTAAGAATGTAAGACTCATTGATACCTCAACTCCTTCAGGGCCGACGCAAAAGGCATCTAGTTTCAACTGTATCAAACTAAGAGTTAAGAGCTAAGGTTTCGGGTTTAAGAGGCTGCGAGACTGTGTTAGATTCTGAACAGCTCCTGAAACTTGACAACCCTGTCAACAATGTTTAGAAACCTCTGCACAAGCCGACATATAGCCCTAAACCCTAGATCCTAAATCCTAAACCGAAAGCCGTAGAGACCAGGTTAAAGCTCGGCTTACAAGTTGAGAGCAACACGGCCGGCACGGTTGGAAGCAGGCGTCGGGCTCAGAAATGTTGCGGTTGCGATTTATTGATTAGAGTGGGGTTGTGGGGTATGCTAGTTAGAGTAGGGCTTCGAGCTGTATGAAGGAGAGTAGGGTTGTGGGTATATTTACAGCAAAGGTATATTTCAGGAACCCTAGGGAAGAACATTGGCAATTCTTGCGGGCCTCTATGTAAGCCCAACAGTCCCTCATAAGGATTCACCGGCCATGCCGAGCATCTCTCTTAGATAGCGGGTTTGGGTTTGTAGAGTTGATCTACTTTCGAATGTTTGATTTTTCGTGGCCCCACTCAAGAGATCCCCCATCTCACACACTACCCGCAGTTTCAAGCCTTTGCCAAAGACAATATCAGTGTTCATACTAAACCCTAAACATCCCTAAACCCCTAACTCCCAACATCCTAAACCCCTAAACCTAAAAATCCCTAAGCCCGAAACGTCCCTAAACCCCTGACCCCAAACATCCCTAAGCGCTAAACATCCCTAAACCCTTAACCCTAAACCCTAAACCGCACGTACCCCCAGGCCCGAAGACTTTGAGACTGTCTGCGGCGAGGGCCATCGCTGGGCCGGAAGCCCGGGGGTCGGAGAGTTTGCCAGGGCGTGTTTCCACATGAAGTGTTTGAAATCTGATAGATAGATAGATAGACAGAGATAGCTAGATAGAGGTATATATACCCTAATATTAAAAATACAGATATACATATATATATATATATATATAACAGTACAACATGTGTAGTTTGCTGCCCTCTACGCGTTCACAGAGTCAGCATAACGGCAGCAGCAGTGCTCGCGACAGCTGGCCGCAGCACTTGTTGTAGCCGTCGTCGATCTGGTGGCAGTCGACCACGTCGTCGACGTAATAGCAGTAGTAGTCGAATTACTAGTAGTAGTAGTAGTAGTAGTAGTAGTAGTAGTAGCAGCAGCAGCAGCATCGGCAGCCGTGGTGACAGTCGTTGTTGTCCCAATCCACCAGCTGAGGCCGTTGTTTGCCGTCATGCCGAGAAGGTGGGTTATTGGTGTTTGCGGGGCTCACCAGCGCGATTCGGGTGCAGGGTTTCGGGCTTGGGGTGGTTGGGATTTTTTTGCATGTTCAGGGTGTAGGGTTGCAGAGTTTCGGGTTCATGTAAATTTCAGCTGTATGAACAAGGCAAACTTGCATACAGTGCACATTCTTGTTCTCAGTGTTCTTGCTGTGGGCTTTTGGCATCGAATAAGTCTTGAGATTGCAGCAGCTTAGCACGATGGAAAGGTCGAAAGCACATCCGGGTTCAAGCTAAGTGCATGGGTTGACAAACGCTTATAGTATAGTGCAACTCCCCTTAACCCTGAAAACCTTTCAAAGCCTGAAACCCCAAGACAGAAAGCCCCAAACTTTCAACCCTAAACCCCTAAACTCCCTAAACCCTCATCGCCGTCCGCACCGGGATCGCCTCCACGCTCCAGGACCTGGGATGTTAAAGGAACGTCAGAAGCATCGTAAGTCTATATAGATGTACAATATATATATATATATACGATAAACAAGGCGATAAACATAATATAAATCTGCACTATAAATATTGGCCCCCAAACCTGTTCTAAGTCAGGGCCCTATATTGCGTTGATGTGAAGTTGTAGATGTAGCGACTCTAGACATAACCCGACTTTCTGAGTCCCGTGACACCATAAGCAAACAAACCCCGAAACCTTAAACTCTAATTGCCCGAAGACTCTCTTTTACGAGGCAGAAGACGAAAGTTGTTGAAATCCCTCAATAAGCAGTGTATGTTTACATACATGCATCCATCCTTCAACAAGTCATAAAGGCTTCAGCCACTACACCCTAAGCCCCTCAACCCCTGAACCCCTCAACCCTACACCCCTAAACCCTAAACCCCTAAACCCTAAACCGTATGCCCTGAAACATCTCAGCACTCAATGCCAGGGCGCGGAGCTACCACTGTTCTGCAGCCTGCGAGAGTGCCGGCTGCTTACGGCGTCAGGGTTTTTGTAGGGGCCTTAAATAATTAGAACAGGGTTCCTTTAAAGGGCTCTTTAAAGGGGCCTCTAAGGGCTACTATAGTTATACGGGATACTGTAAGGGTACTAGGATATAGGGGCCTTAATAAATACAACAGGGTTTGGGGTATGCCTAAATAAGTACCAATACTATTTTTTTGGATTCCTTACTTTGAGTCTCGTACAAAAAACCCTGAAACCCTATTTGTTACACTTGCTACTGCAGTTCTAGCCAGGCATGCTACATCCAAGTCCCGGAGGTATGGCTACATGGGAGCTTCAACAACAGTTCCAAACTGTTCCTTACTTTGCCGTGCCCCTGAACCCTAAACCCGGAAAAACCTAAACAAGACAAAAGCAGAGGAAAGCCGAAGCCCGAGTCTCGCCATCCTCGGTGTTCAGGGAGGGACTAACCACCAGACCCTTGGAGGGATACGAAACACGGAACCTCTGGGGCTCAATCCGAACACTTCCGGGTTCTACGCTCATCGACCCGAAACCCCAAACCGAAGACCGCAACGCAACAAGCAAATGCAAGCATGCGTTAGAAGCTGCCCCCACCCTGTAATAGTGACTATAAGGATTATTTTAGGGCCTTATGAAATTCCTATTATGCCACTATTACAGGGTGGGGGCCCCTTCTAAAGCATACGGTTTAGGGTTAGGAAAAGTTTGATTGTCACCACTGCAGCTACTCAGTTGTTGAGACCAGGCCCTTCATACAGACCCGCAGCACTCGGATCTTGATTTTGGGGGCCCGCGAAGAATCTACCCCGAACTTCAAGAAACCCCGGCTGCCCAAAAGGTTGTTCCAAGTAGGGACCCAACAAGCATTTTATAGGGATTTCCCCACCTTATTGGTCTTCATTATCAGGGATTTATATGGGATATCCTTTCTACGCAATTAGTACCTATACTAGTTTTATTATAATCAGAGAAACATGGGACCCAAAACCCTGTTCGAATTATTAAGGCCCCTATACTAAACCCTTATAATCCCTTATACTAACCCATAAAGGACCCCTTTAAAGGAACCCGATTCTCATTGTTAAGGCCCCTATATCCTAGTACCCTTATTGTATCCCTTATAACGATAGTAACCCTTAGAGACCCCTGTAAAGAGCCCTTTAAAGGAACCCTATTCCAATTATTAAGCTTCTTTTAAGCGTCTCCCCTTTTGGCCGTGTCCGACCGAGGTTTCTTGCGACCGGCCTGGCGGATTCCCTCCGTCCTGCTGCATACGGACTGGGATTTCTTCGAGCTTCTGATGTAAGGGCTTAGGGTTACAAGTCGTTAGGGATATTTGAAAACCAAAGGTTAGGCTCAGTAGTAATTGAGGATATTACAGAAATATTAGCGAGGTTAGAGCTTAGGGATATTGGGGTTTAGGGATATTGGGGATGCACTGACTCAAAGGGGTTCAGGGCGAAGGGATATTGGGGTTCTGTATACACACCGTAGATCCTAAACACTAAACCCTCCAAAACATTCTGGGGCGGAACTTAGTCTGATGGGGCACTTGCATTATGTAATGTAGTAAATAAGTACCAACAATATTCCTTAGAGCTCCTTAGTACAATCATACTACAAAGGAGACTACAACCCCATTCTAATTCCTAAGGCCCCAATATCCTAGTACCCTTATAGGATCCCTTACAACTATAGTAACCCTTAGGGACCACTTTAAAGACCCCTTTAAACGAAGCCTACATTCGAGGGGCTCATTGTCAGATTTACAGTGGGTATCCCTTCCTTGAAGGCTTCTGGGGTATTGCTTCGGGTTTAGGGTGTAGGGTTGAGGGGTTTAGGGTTTAGGGGTTTCGGGGTATTGCTTCGGAATGTCGGGGTGCAAGAAGACTACACTGACCCACAGAGACATAGTCATGTTCGAAAAACAAGAAAGGAGTCCGAATGTCGGCACATAAGGCTTCTCCTTAGCTTCAGTCTCTTTTGCACCTTGGTTTCAACACCCCTTCAACGGCGTGAATCTCAATTCCTGCACCCGAAGCTGCCGAAATCCTTGACCTGACATCTCCTGAGCTGTTAACGCTCAACAGCCGCTGCCGACAGGCGAGCACCCGCAGTTTGGCATATCTAAACTTCCATGTAGGATTATTGGGCGATGCTGGTCCGCTTCCTTTTGCTCACCCTTGCAGCTGGACTCCGCTTGAACACTGATCCGTTGTGGCCGTGGGAGGAGCACCCAGGGAGCACTGCCGAGGAGCTTCAGGAGCTCCTGAGAAGCGCGATTGCGGAGGCCGGCACACCTGAGCCGCTTCAAAAGGCCGCCAGGGCGAAAGCACAGGAGGTGGAACTCAGAAAACTGGTCGCCGACATGCAACAGCCCAAGGATCTGCTTGCCAACTTCATCCACACGATCTGGCAGAGTAGCAGCACAAAGTGCCATCAGCAGCTAGTGCAGGTGATGCGCAACCTTACGCTTACATGCGAGGGATTACAGCCGAAAGCCGACTGGCTCTTCGACTGGTTTGCCGATAACTTGCTCCCGAACAAGACCTGCGCGAGAGTATCAGCGACATTTTTGCTTCGGGAGACGAGCTCGTCCCGATCCTTCGCGTCTCCAGGGATGCAGTGGCTTCCTTGAGTGTGTCCAGTAAGATGCTCCGTCGTTATCAGGCGCTCTCCTTTTTGAGGAACTGGCTGGTGGACCTCACCCACACTCATCATCATGCGCTGCTTTGGGCCGGCTTCTGGGATGGGGACCCGCAGAAGCGCACGACAAAGGTGAAGCTTTCTAACTTTGCCAAGGCAACAGAGCACGCGACCATGGACCCAGACAGCTTCCTTGGCCAAGTCATCGACGCGAGCCAGGACCTCGACGCTTGCTACGAGGACGCTGAGACCAGTGTGCTTGCGGGAAATATGTGGTCCATCGCGAGCATGAGCTTCGTGCTCGGGATGCGCGAGAAAGCGCAAGGAACCGTCGTCGCATTGGTCAACAAGAAGATTACGGGGGAGCGCAACTTGTCCCAGTCCGTGCTGTCCACCCATGAAATCCCGACAGTGGGGCTGGCAGCCTGCGGGCTCGGGTACTGGTCTCCGAAAGTGATCATCGTGAACCTGATGGGCACCTGCAACCAAACGAGCCCGGCTCTGCAGAAGCAGCTCTTTATGCGCTTGCCCGCTTGGGCCAAGTCAATGAAGCACTGGAGCGCAGAAGCCTTTGCAAGGAGGTCGCGGCTGCAGTGGCAGTGCATCGACTGCTCGGGCGCTTGCAGCCTTGACGATGCCTTGGCAGAGCATGTGGAGAAGCTGGTCAAGGCAGCCTTGAGTTCGAAAAGGACTCTGAGAAACCCGAAACCATAAAACCCAGTGCTTCCCTCAGCGGCCCTTGACGGACTCTGATCTGTGTGCTTTTGCCCCATGCTTGAAGTGAAGTCTTTGGCCGAACTCCCGGCCTGGAGGCTAAGAGACCCTAGACCCTTGTCCCTAAACCTGGAGGCTTCTTGGAGGTTCATGGGTAGTTATAAGTAGGATTCTAAGTAGGATAACTATACTTATTACCCATCTTCGGAGACTTACAACCCCACTTACAAACTACCCATGAACCTCCAAGTAGACCCTAATCCCTAAACCTGGAGGCTAGAGAGGTTCAAGACCGGAAGGACCAGGAGCTGCGAGAGGCCTTCAATACCAGCTTGCAATACTACTATTTGCTTAAGAACCCCCAAAAAATGAAAAACATATTCCTTATAGAGATAATATAGGGATTATATTTTTTATTTTTTGGGGGGGTTCTTAAGCAAATAGTAGAATAGGTTTCCATGACTAGGATGCCCATTGGAACCCTTATTCCCGTTTTGTAGTCCTTGGTTCCTTATAAAGTTACCCAATACCAAAAAACGAGCCCTTTTTATTCCTAGGTGACTGGGCATCCTAGATGAGGGCTTTACACTTACCTTTGGTTAGTAGGGAATGGAAGAATGGTAGCAATGGTAGTTATAAGTGTACCCCATTCCTCCATTCCCTACTAGCCAAAGGTAAGTACAGGGTTTTGTGAGGGCTTCTGTCAGGGATCTATAGGGCTTTCTAGAAAAAATCTACAAGGGGTATCTATCAGAGATCTAGAGGATTTGCGGGATTACGGAACTTAGTAAGTAGGTTTATACGTACGTTACTTGAAGCTACAAAATAAGCGACTGTTGGATTTTTATAGCTATAGTCGTTTTACTTACAGGACCATGCGACAGAAGAAGTAGGGCGTTGATGAGATTTACTATCGAGTGTCATACGTTTCAGGAACTTGTCCGAAGGATCATGAGACCTACTGTTGATGTTATAAATCCTGCATTACCCATAATAAGGAGTATACCATAGTTCCCATAGTTTAGGGTAATTAAGGTAATGCAGGATTGGATTTTTATCATCAACCGCAGTACGGGGGGCCTTAGGTTGTCGGATTTAGGGTGCTAGCTGAAGACCCAGAAGCCCCACCCAGCTGCTCGCGAGGTGGTCAGTCCTCATCATCTCCATCTCCCGGTCGGTCTCGCAAAGGATGTGGGCCTCGCCATCAATCGGATGAGAACGCTGGTGAAGAAGCGGAGACTCCGCAAGCTGAAAGCTGCGCAGGAGCGCACGCTCGCTTTGGCCCGGGACTGGGAAGAAGAACTCAGGGAGACTCAGCAGGGGATTCAAGAGCTCAATGCCGCGGCGAGGCAACTCCAGGTGAAGCAACTGCTCCATCAGAATGCTGATCCGAACGCTCCAGACAGGCTCGGCTACACAGCCCTCATCTACGCTGCATACGAAGGACACCAAGACGTGATCGAACCCTTGCTGAATGCCGGAGCACAGCTGGAGGCTCGTGATGAGGAAGGCAGTACAGCACTCATCTGGGCTGCTCGCAAGGGCCACCTGCAGGTGGTTGAGGCGTTGCTGAAGGCTGGAGCCCAGCTGGAGGCCCACAATGAGTATGGCATCACAGCCCTCGTCGAGGCTTCGACGAAAGGCCGCCTGAAGGTGTCGAGGCGCTGGCGAAGGCCAGAGCCCAGCTGGAGGTCCGAGATGTGGACGGCCACACAGCCCCTATTCAGGCTGCACGCTACGGCCGTTTCAAGGCGGTCGAAGCGCTGCAGAAGGCCGGAACCAGCCTGGAGGCCCGTGATGCGACAGGCAGCACAGCCCTCATCCGTGCTGCCCACCAGGGCCACTTGAAAGTGGTCGAGGCATTGCTCAAGGCTGAAGCACAGCCGGACGCCGCTAACGCCCGAGGCTGCACAGCCCTCATGAAACCCGCTTGGCGAGGACACCTTGTTGTGGTCCAAGCGTTGCTAAACGCCGGAGCCAAGCTGGAGGCCCACAGTGAGTTTGGCGGCACTGCTCTCATCTATGCCGCCAGGAAAGGCCGCTTGAAAGTGGTCAAGGCCTTGGCAAAGGCCGGAGCGCGGCTGGACGCCACCGGTCACTCAGGCATAACAGCCCTCATGTATGCTTCAATGAAAGGCCATCTGAACATGGTCGAGGCATTGCTGAAGGCCGGAGCCCAGCTAGAGGTGCGGGACGAGTATGGCCTCGCGGCCCTCGCACTGGCTGAAGAGTCCGGCCAGTGGAACGTAGTGAGGGCATTGAAGAAGGCTGGAGCCCAACCGCAGGCCAGCGATGAGGCTGGTGGAGGGCTTCGGTAGTAGCAGAAAAGTCATGCGTCTGCATGCCCTACTTGGAGGTTCAGCATAGTTGTAACCTCCGACTAGCAACCGTACTTACAAACAACTACCCTAAATATCGCCACATCCTGAATCCCAAACCCTAAGTAACCACAAACCCCTAAACCCCCAACGCTAAGCCGCTGTTTCGGGCTTTAGTGTGTCAGAGTCGCTGTGACATTGCATACTTCTTCTCCCCGAACACTAAACGGCTTCACATGAGAGTTTCGGAGAATCAGGAAACCTTGTGAAGTCTTCAGGTGTCTGGGACAAGAAAAGTACCAAACTGATGTCGTCGTCTCAACAGCTAATAAAAGTCTGTCTCCCCACGAAGTCTCGTTATCGTGAAGTATGTTGCAATATCACATAAACCTGGTTTTGGTCGGGGCACCCTCTCGAGAAGGAACGATGCACGTCGACACATCAGATCGCGAAGCAAGTTTTCCCGAGAAGTATCCATTCCCCTCCTTAAACACTGAAAATCCCTGAAATCCCTCCGACACTCAGAAGCTTCGATGTCCCTCACGCCGCGCTCAATACCTGAAATTCTCCTACCTTCAGACGCCATCTCGAACCCTTGAACCCCAACAGCCCGAAACCGTAAACACCCTTGAAATCTATCCGCTCCCCCCCGTCGTAAACCCGCCTGGTCTCTGAGCAAAGAGTCTCGTACACCGCAGTTCTGTGCTGCATAGTGGGACACTTCCAATATGGGAGTTTCCGATTATTGGGGGTACCATATTTTGAGGCGCTTATAATACGGATCCTACAGTTTGGTGTATTTTGTTAGGGTTCCTATTTTCGGAAACCCCCATATGCTGGTTGCATCAGCACAAACTACCCAAAACACACGACACGTCGTTTGCCACCAGGATAGATTGGGCCTTTGACTGTGCAACCGAGCGCTAACCTTGTGTGGCAAAACAATGTCCGAGTCTGGTATGACAGATAAGAGTCTGTCCCTACTTCATGCCAGCCGAACGTCAACGGCAGGTCCTCTGCTCGGAAACGCCCCTCACCAGCTCCAACCGAAAGCCCTGAACATGTCAAAGCCTGGACAGGAGCGAACACTGCAACACCAGCATCCAGGATGCATGGTTTAGGATCTCGCCTTCAGGATGCAGGATCTACAAGGAGGCTCTTTTGATGTCGTTCTTCCACATGGTATCCTATAAAACTGCTGTACTGATCCCCTGGACCATCTTTGGATCCAGACCTAGGCTTCCAAAGGGTGTTAGAAGCGGTCTAAACGGTTTTTGAACGTGTCATTACACATTCCAAAGGCGTGATGCAGCTTTTATGGGGTTCGAAAAGGTTTTTGTATGGCTTGGGGTTCAGGTTGAGGGCCCCTGCTCTAGCCTTTTCTGGCTTGGGGTTTCGAGATTCCAGAAGCAGAGTTTCTGAGCATTGCCGTGTGAGGTGTCGGGAGATCAACGGCGAGGAGTTGCCTTCCGACATCTTCGCTTCCCCCCTTCGCCCCCGGGCGCAAGGGAGGGTTTAGGCTTTAAGCAGCTTCGGGTTTAAGGGTTTAGGGTTTCTGCAGCCCTGAGGACCTAAATCTTCAGTCCCACATTACTGTCATCGCGATTGTGAGTATGAATAGAAGTACTATGACGACGACCCCTACCTCCATCTTTGCAGTTTCGGTCTTGACCTCCGATGAACTAATCGCTGCGAAGCCTTCTCTAGATCCTACGGCTCGAAACGTCAGCCCATCAAAGCCGGCTTTTTCAAGGCCGGTCGTAATAGAACTAGCGAAGGTAGTTTTACCTGCAACAGTAATAGTACTGGGATGGTCTCCTCCCCTGCTCCTGCTGCTACTGCTACTGCTACGGCTACTACTGCTGCTACCGTTCCTGCTATTGCTACTGCTGCTACTTCTGCTACTTCGGCAAGTTACACTGCTGCCCTCCTGGCGGTGGTGCTTCGAAGATTGTGGGGGCCCTGCCATAGGTGCTGCTGGACAGCAGGGCGACAGTCATGTCCGGTTAGAAGCGGTTGGCATGCCTGATCGGGTCGTCTACTACTACTACTACTACTACTACTACTACTACTACTACTACTACTACTACTACCACTACTGCTACAACAATTACTGCTGCGACAACAACTACTACTACCACTACTACTACCACTGCTACTACTACTACTACTACTACTACTACTACTACTGCTACTACTACTACTGCTACTACTGCTACTACTACTACTGCCACTGCTACACTAGGCGCAACAAGGTAATTCAGGCTGTCAAGATGCGGAAGGGACATTCAGCAGATTAAGGTTGAAGGGCGTTTTGCCGCAGGATTCATAGTTTAGGGCTTAGTAGTGATCCTGACTGCAAGGAGACGCACTCTGGCATTCAGGTTTCCAAACAATACAGGTCGTATTAGGCCTTCAGGGCGATGTATGACGAACTACGACGGACCCCGACGAGATGTTTCAGAACCCGACTTCAATAGCAATATGTTGACCTGTGCTTTGGCTTAATGCGTCTAGGGTCTGTGATCAGGTTTGCTGAACGTCAGGCAAGGCAGTCCTCGTGAAATTTGCGAGGTGCAGCAACAGCATCTTATTCCCGATGAGGCTTGCTGCGTATGTGCTGCCTTGGTTCGTGTCATCGTCATTTCCGACTTTAACATGCAGCTTAACTTAGCCTCGATCGTTAGCCCAGTCAGCCGTCCTAAAATGGCTGTGACTGCAAACTATTTCATTATTACCTTACCTAAGTTATCTTATCGAACCTTGCATTAGTTACAATACCATTCTTATCTTAAGCTATCTTATAGATTCTCATATTTTGTTGCACTTAGTCAAATGATGTCGCCCAGGTCTTCTCTTGGCCATCTACCGCGTGGATGACGATGAGGGTCCTGACGAGCCGGCTACCGGAGAAATGTGAGCCCAGAGAGCACAATGCGGGTTTCATGTCCCCAAGCAGTACTTGGAGGTCCTTGGGTAGTTATACGTGGGGTTATAAGTCCCCTAGATTATAAGTACAGTTATGCCACTTACAACCCTAGTTAGAACTCCCCATGAACCTCCCGGTACCCTAAACCTTAAACCCTGAACCCAAACCCTAAGCTCTAAACCACAGTATGGGAGCACTCGAACTTCCTGAAGTTCTTTCCCGATTCGCCTCTTGGTCCTTTCCGCCTGGTGTCGTTCCAGGGTGCTATTCGCCAAAGAATTGTAGTCACGCTCAGTCTGCACGTGGGAGTTTCGAGTTTCGGGGTGCTGCCTTCAAGCTCGAAGCACTTAGAGCTGAAGCAGGGGTCAAACTATACTAGAATTGGATGGGAGGAACATATCCAGAACTGTTGAGAAACATTCAAAAACACATGAGACCTGGTCCTGGAGTGGTCCCCAATCGTTTTGGCTGTGAACTTTCGCTGTCTTTGGTCTACCCTTGCATAACAAGCACTTAGAGTTCGCCTGAGTAGCCCAATGTTTGGTAGTAGGCTCTCTGGACTTCTTTCCGGCAGAATGCCTTCGAGCGTTCCAGCGCTGGCGAGAGGAAAAGGGGCCGCGAGGGTGAGTCTGCAAAGTTTCCTTTAAGGGCTCCAAAGTAGGTAGACGCATGACCCCATCATAGTTTCAGTTTAAGTATAGTACATCTGCATTCTTTTAACTCATGTCGGAGCTGCCAGATCCAGAACATTGTGGCTTTCAACGCGGTTGACAAAGAGGGCCATTGGGTTTCATGCTGTGCTTGGTTCCTGAGTAGTAGCCTTTTGCACTTTGTGTTTTCGGGTCCCCTTATTATAACCGAATAGTACGAAAAAGGGTACCCTTACCATAAAGGGACTACTCAGGAAGCTAGTGTATCAATGACTCTACCTTGGGCGAAAGACGTGTAAAGCCTCGACACTGCAAGTGTTCGTGAAGCTGGGAACATCCTGGTGTCGTGATCCTGCACAGCTTACGGTCAGCTGATAGCTCGCCTGGTTCCTGATGCAATTCTGGTATACTAGCCCCCAAACCTTGTCCGAATTGTTCAGGCTGCTCGATTATGTGCGGCTTGAACTGGTAGAGCAGCAACGCAAGAACTCTAGGTCACTGGAACCAAGAGCCTGTAAGAACCCCACATCTTCAATCCCCTGTGTGGGCCCTAGAAAACCTGGGCACTTTGCCGCAGACGAAATCCTTTAGGCGGTTGGTTACTTTGGGGTTCCTTCAGCCTTCAGCTCTACATGGGAGGGCCTTCAGCCTTCAGCTCTATTTTGGAAAGCAAAGAACACAAGTACCCGCGTACCCCAAAGCTTCATGGAGTATCAATGGCGAATCCATGACCCCCTTCGGCATTCGAAGCCCCCTAAAGTCCTCTTCCCACTGGGTGGCTCCCGTAGCTCGCCGACTTTGACATAACCGGGCCAGGTCCAAAACCCGAAACCCTTAACCCTGCGAGCCACGACCCGTGCAGTCAGTGCCATCTGCAGGTCGCCGAAGCCGCGGGCGAGAGGCGAACGGAAGTCTTTGCATCTGCTCATTTTGTCAGGAGGTAACCTTCAGAGCAACGTTGCGGGACTGCTAGGGTATTGAAAGCCAGGCTCCAGTGACTTAGGGTGCATTCGAAACAAAGAGTGGCTATAGAAAACGCCAAAACCCTCGACCTAAGCATAGCTTCTCACGAGGGGAAAGCTGCTTGCGCCTGTTATTGTAATTTTGGGGCTCCCGAAACTATTTTGGGGGTTCCTCAATATAAGTATAGCATAATGGGCCCCAAAACCCTATTCTAACTACTCAGGTATTAAGGGCCCCATACTAGGAGCTTTCTGGTAAACGACAGCCCGGGCTCTTGTCCGGGTCTGCATATCGATGCTTTTTTCTGTATGGATTTTGGGATCATCGGTTTCTAAAGCAGGTCGACCGACCAGATTCATGTGCTTTTCCGCAGCAGTAGATGTGTGTGGCGGATGTCTTGCGCCCGCGGATCTCAGCATGAGACCATCATCGAGCGGCACGGGTTGAGATTATGCCCG